ATTCAAAATGTGGTGGTCGGGGACATCGGATACAAAAAAGGTACATTTAAATTTTATTTCCCGATGGCCCCCACAATGCCACAGACTTTTCCACCCATTTGAGCGTTTTTCATATTTTTATACCCTTGCAGGGTATTATAATTTCAGTCAGAAGTTTGCAACGCAGTGAAGGAGACGTTTCCGACCCTATAAAGTATATATATTCTTGATCAGCATCAACAGCCGAGTCGATCTAGCCATGTCCGTCTGTCCGTCTGTCCATCTGTCCGTCTGTCCGTCTGTCCGTCTGTCCGTCTGTCTGTTTCTACGCAAACTAGTCCCTCAGTTTTAAAGCTATCTGAATGAAACTTTGCATAGAGTCTTCTATATACTCTCACTGCTATATATGTCGGAACGGGCCGGATCGGACGACTATATCATATAGCTCCCATACAAATGTTCGATAAATTTTTAGAAAAAAAATTATAACTTGGCTGTTTTTCAATATTTTTGCATCATTTTTGAGATATAGCCATTTTATATTATTACAGAATTTTGGTAAAAATTTTATGAAAATCGGACGACTATATCTTATAGCTGCCATAGGAACGATCGGAAAAAGAATAGGAAAAAAATTATAACTTTGTTGTTTTTCAACATATTCTTATCTACTTTTAGATATAAGCTTCTTTTATTATTTCAGAATTTTGGTAAAATTTTTATGAAAATCGGACAACTATATCATATAGCTGTCATATAAACGATCTGTAAAAGTGGAGAAAATGTAAAGCTGGGAATGTAAAACCTTAACTGTCAAACTGTAAACATAATAAGTAAAAGTAAAATGTAATGAAACTCTGTTTTGTGAGTGTTTTCAGCATTTAAATTTATAATATAAACATCAAAACCAATCTGCAAGGGTATACAAACTTCGGTGTGCCGAAGTTAGCTTCCCTTCTTGTTATAAATTGCTATAAATTGAGATATTAATACGATACGCGACAAAAGTCACGGGATCCGGAGCCAGACCGGTGGCGGCTCGAATGGCTGCTACTGCTGTTGGCCGCTTGGTTCGCTGACTCTGTTGCGAACATGCGGCAAAAAGTGTCGGGACATTAAAAAATGTGCGCGCAAGTGTGGCGCAAACAAAATGCTCAGTTATTTGTACAAAATGCGATGCGACAACTTTTTCGGCGGGCAACATTTGGCCGCCAGAGTCGCCCGCGATAATGATGAAGTTTTGCCCGACCGGAACCTCGATCTGGGGCTGGCTTTAAGCCGTAATTTAAACAGGGACTCTCCCTCCGATTTGGGCCTGCAGTAAGTGCGTCGCCTCCTGGATGGCCTTTGTGGCAGCTTAAATATTCCGGGCACACGTTCCCCACACATTTCGCCAGCCGCTTCAATTGGACTGATTTAATTGAATCAGTTTGGTCGTCTACTGCCAACTCCGCTCCCCCACCACTTGGCCAACCAATTCCGTGTCTTCGGTCTTTCAATTTACTACCCCTGTCATTGTTGTTCCTCCGTAGTTTCGGCTCTACGTTTGACTATTCACTCCTCTCTAGTGGTTTTCTTTTTTGCACACGTTTGCGTGCCATGCACGGCATAAAAATTTTGACACAAACCCGTTGCATACGATTCGGCTGGGAGCAACGGCGCGCACCGGCGGCCTATTTGTCTGTGTCTGGTCCTGGTCCTGGGCCTCCCTCCTCGGTGGTTGAGTTTTTTTAAGAAGGAAATTGTATAGAAAGGGCTCGCCATAACCACGCAGAGATATAGAATTCGTTCGAACATTCCAAAACTTCTTCACACAAATTTTCCTTGGACAGCATACAAAGGTTTTTCTATTAATTGAAGTCGCACACAGACTCTACTTGGACCTACATACTAATAGAAAACACTTTCTCCGTAATCGATTTATGCCTGAAAAAACTTTGGAAATAATGCTAAATAAATTACCCCGCATGGAAAAACAATCATTACACTTCCGAGCCATAGGCAATTTCGATTAGGTAGGTCTCTACCCGTTCTGGGGCAGAAGAAAAACTAACTTTTGCTTTATTCATAAAGCAAATGAGTGCGGGGAGGGGCCCGAAGTCAGCTGTATCCCACGCACGTATGAGATTTCTTATTTACGATAAGGAGACACACAAAAAATAGCAAAACAGAAAAGACAAAGGCAGAAGAAAGCCCAGCTAGCCCCATCCTTAAGCCACCCTTGAACTCCCCGCAGCAAGTCAGGCAGAAAAAAGGCAGACGCTGCAGAGACAAAGCAGCCAGTAAAAAGGCCAAATATTGAATTGTGCGTAATTTACGATAAAAAGGGGAAAATTGGAAAAGTTTTCGCCCAGATTCAGTCGTATGTGCGCCGGAGGAACGGGACGGAGGCCTCGTCTTTCGCTTTCCCTTATTTATGTAGTTCGTGTTTGGGGCAGCCAGGCACGTGTTTTATACGACAGAACCATGTAAAAAATTCTGATTGCCCGAATTGAGACGCACAGTGGTTCATATACTTTTTAGAATGAGTCGATTTATGATATCAACCAAAAACACCTCTTATATAGGTTTTAAATCAGTTAAAGGTACGGTTATGGCATAAAAGGGTATAAAACGGTAACTGAGCTGGAATATGAAATTTTGGGTTAAAGTTTTAATTTGACAAACATGGGACTTAATTCAAAGTTTCTAAGTATGTAGGACTTCTACAATATCGAGAGGCATCACCCAATGGGTATTGCTAAACAAGTTACTAGCAGCATTTGGCATTATTTCAGAGTTGCGCAACATATTTCTAGCAACATTTTACTATTCATATGACTGCAGTACTGTTAAATTACATTTCTTTAATCAATTTTAACATAAGACAGAACAGGGAACTTAATAAAAAAAATATATTATATAATCCTTCAATAAAGAGAAACCTTTAAGAAATATAAACTTAAATTGCCAATGTTAATTATAATCATATAACATTTGTAATAATAATATATAATAATAATAATTTGTAGTATAACATAAATTTATCAGCAAAATGTTTAATTGTATATAAAACGTAATACTTTTTTTGACTTTTAATAATTATATTAAAATTCAATTCAAAATAGATACCTAGATTCTTATACAGCATAAACTTTTTGTTAACATAATGGAATTGTCATAGGCCAACATTAAGACATTTTTATACCGTTGCAGAGTATTATAATTTTAGTCAGTTTGCAACAGAATAGACGGTTACGACCATATTAAGTTTATATATTCTTGATCAGCATCAACAGCCGAGTCGATCATTCTATCCTCCTGTCCGATTCTACCTTTGAATATACATACATATGTAGTCTTCTGACTATTCTCTCTTTTATGGATGTCGGAACGGCCGACTATATCATATAGCTGCCATAGAAACAATCGGAAAAATTATAACTTCGTTGTTTTTAAGCATATTTTCATATATCTTGTATTCTTGTATGTATGTAATATTTCAGAATTTCGGTTTTAATTTTTTGAAAACCTTTGACTATATCATATAACTACCATTGGAACGATAAGGAAATTAAACAAAAAACGAACGATAAAGTAAAGCTGTGACTTTAAAAATAAATAATTAATATGTAATTTAAAGGATATTAAAATCGGTGTGCCGAAGTTAGCTTTCTTTTTTGTTTAAATTTGTTTTTTCTCATGAATATAGTTATAAATATATTTAACCCATTTAAAAATGAAATATAAATAATACAAATTTATAGTATACAACTTGAGTTTTATTGCTGTGGAACCACTGTGCAGCCTCACCGAGAGCGATTGTGTATATTGTCCTGCCTCTAGGACCAATTGAGACGTTTTTATTAAATATTACAAGTAGCTAAATAAATTAGTCAAAGGACGTTGTTGCGTTGCCTGGGAATGCGAATTGGCCTCTTGCTATGGAGCCCAGTTGGCTCGGTGATAAGGGGCCCTTGCAGATGTGTGAATAGTTTCCGGGATAATAACTCCTCTGAGCCCCGCCTACAATCATCGCCATGCCCTATTTTCCACCACGTTCTATGGGTGATAATGCAAATTTATGCCTTAATTGCGGACTCCCTTCGGAGGGCCCATTTTCCATTGAGCTGCAGCTGTTTCAGTGGGCACCATTAAGTCACATTCGGTTAGCCGACCGGGGCGGCTGGGTTTTTTGCATTGCAATAGGCCCGGCGACAGCTCAGACGCGTCCACCTCCAAACTGATGCCATTAAAACATTTATGTAATTGCTGTTATCGACAGCGGCTGGCTCTGCAAAATGGCCTGGCGGCCGCATCCAGGATCGGGAATGGCGGCGGGTCTGTAAACGGACCTTTAATACACTTTTGATTGGATTGTCGCACAAGTTAATTGAACGGCGCAACATCGGCTACGGCAAAAATTTCCCAGCCGGGCGAAGCCTAAGCCACTGAGCGAACAGTGCTTTTAGCCGGGTCAACGCGAAAACTGGTGGCAATTAATTTTGAAACTAGCTGGAGAGGCGGCGGCCCAACCCGCGGCTCCAATTCATGTCGATTCATGGAAGCTCATTAGTTGGCAGACTGGCAGTGGACAGCCCCCGAAAGTAGACAGCAGTGTCCTTTGTTCGATTGTATCGTATCCTCTCGCCCTCTGCTCGAGCTGCAACTTTTGCTACTGCCAGGGTGGCTGTGTATCGCAGCCGGACTCGGTTCCATTTTAATGCTCGAACGCATTCTTATCTTCTGTTGTCCTCGGCGAGCAAATTGTTTGAGAATGACCCGCGTAAACTTGCTTTCTGGCTGATTTACTGTAAATTGTATTGTGGCAGTGATTTGCCGCAATCCCATATAAATCGTACGCAACGTGGCAAGAAATGCGCCCGACATGCTTACAAATTGATTGACCTGCGAACGAGGTCGCAGAGCGTGGATTTGCCTAGTGGTTCCCTTGATTGTGGACCTTGCTAATGGATGGCCGGCAATTTGGCATGTGTCACGGCCAGAAAGGTAATGAATACATCCTCTGATTGGAGACTTACCTTTTTGATAACTCATCATTCCAACTTAGTTGCGCATAGATGAGGGGGATTAGACCGGGTTCAGTACAGCACAGCCCGTGGATATCTGAAAAACGAAGGGAGTGGAATAATCAGCTTTATGGATGACTTATGAGTTGCTATACATTCCCACAGTACCCCGATGCAATCACCGTAATAGGGGGAAAACTTCTTGCCAGCCCATCGGCAAACACGCCATCATCGTCGTCTTCTGCCACTTTAGCACATTTTTACTTCTGCGTCTACTCGAGTCAGTTAAAAACCTTTTGCATTCGTTTGTTTGACTTCCCCGCCCAGCCGAGAGATGGAACCATTCTGATGTTTACCGAGAACTAAGCCCGCATCCCAGGAACAGTTAGAGAAGACCCAAAGACGCTGTAGTGGGCCTGGAAGGAGGAGCGTGTAAACAATCTCAAGTTTTCTTCGCGTTAGTTTTGTAAATTGCAGGTTGCAACATTTTCATTAAATTAAGTCAAACAGCAAACAAGTGGAGAGGAGCTCGACCGGCACAGGCAAACAATCAGGACTCCCGCCGAGAGTCTTGTAAACAATAACAGCTAACTGTCATGCTCGAGCCGAAATTACGGCCGTAAAGGTGAGTCCTTGCGGAGGATTGTGCCAAAGGATTTCGGCGTTGCCAGGCGATGACTTTGACGAAATCCCCAATAACGATTTCAAATGCTCCAAAATTATGTCTCCTTTGTGAGTCTGCCCTCGATTAATCTGCGGAGCATCATCATCTGTCATGGAGAGCGGCTCCTGGAGCAGAAGCAGGAGCAGGAGCCGGTAGCCGAAAAACCAAGCGTCAGCTGAAGCTGACAGCGTGTCCTGGTTGCACATTTTTGCCTGGCTCGGCAAAAGTCAAGAGCTCTGAACCGAGTGGAGCAACCCTCCCTCCCCGGCACAGCGCAGCATTAATTAAGTTTGTAACGACAAATGCCAACACGACACGAGACGTAAACACTCGCTCAGAGACAGACACGCGCCCTCCCGTAAATCAGACAAGCTCCATGCAAATGCGGAGCAACAACGGGCTCAAAGGATATTCCAGAGAAGATGGACTGAGACCGGGAACCGAGACGAGGACCCCGAGTGCGAGTGCAGTGCAGTAACGGCGTCTGCGTGAACGTCATGACGATGTTAATTTTATAAACTCTTCAGTTTTTAGACCCTTTTCGGTCCCCGCACGCCTCAGCCAGCTTAAACTATTCCCCCTCCTGTTATTGTTGTCCTGCGTGTTTGTGTCCACGCTAGTTAGCGCCTGCGGTGGGTTTGTGTCTGTGCTGTGACGGATGTGCGTTGTGGGTGTGTGCGCCATGGACGTGTCGGTGTGTGTGTGTGTTGTAGCTGGAGTTTGTGTTTGTGGGTCTGGCGTGTTTATGTCCTTCGCTGTCTCGTTAACAGGATTTGAGGGCCGCTTTAGCTGTCGCCTCCGTTGCGGTTGCTGTCTCCCTTTGGATGCTTTAAAAGCGAAATTCAGACTTTAAATTCTAACTTGTGCCCAATTAAAAATTTGTATTTATATAAAGTGAATAAATATTTTTGGCAAAATGGTCACGTGACTTCCTTGTAAAGAGACTTTATACTTAATGAGAACTATGTAAAATCCTCAATCCCCGTGCATCGTTATTTAAAATTTATTAAAAGGCAATGAATGCATTTATCTACGACGACCTTAATTTTTGAGTTTACCTAACATACTCGACACCTCTTACATCTGTTTATGCCTTCAAGTTGTGGCATTTATAGACCTTTAATTGTTTCCCTCTATTTGTTTTTTAGGCATCTTTGCAGATCTTAAAGCCTTGCCAACTCTGATTTATTTAACATTTTCCAGCCACGTGCAACATTTTTCTATTTGTTTGACGCGCCGCATTTTGCAGGTCGGATTTTGTAGTTTTCAGCCAGGCGCTCTTGGCATGGAAAACTCGAGGAGCCAGCGAAACGTAGCCTAGCAATTGAGCCTTGGCATAAGGTGGAAAATGGGGGGGGCGGCGGTAAACGCCGACTTTGCTTTGTGCAACAGCGCGTGAATCTGTATAGGAGGTAAAAATGCAATGTCTAGGCAAACACAGAGACATTTGCTGGGGGTGGGGAAAATATATACGTACGTATGTATACGTACGATATATATAATAGATGGGGGGTCTGGAAAAAGAATTTTATTTGTTTATAGCGCAGCAAGCGGCCAACAAAAAGTGCAGCGTGGCAGCCGGGTAAAAGAAGCGAAGGAATAAAAAAAACTTTCAAAAAACCTGCCAGGTGCAACAGACTCAAGCATTGTCAATATGGGGCACGGAAAGTTGGAGACTGCGAACGCGCATGAGAGTGTCTATTGTCGCTAAAAAGGTGTCTGTGTGTTTGTTAAGGGTCTTTCCAACCACCTTGGCATGCATTACGATATGAGTAAGAGGTCCTTCTAAACAAAACAAAAATTACACTACATTTTTTAAAGATAATTTAGGCTGAAATTAAAACTCTACTGATCTTTAAATCGATTTGTTTTATACACATTTTAAAATTTTTTTTGGAAAATAGTTTAAGATCAATTTAACAAAACAAACATTTATTTAATTAATTAATCGGTTTATCTGCCACCGAATCTAAAAAACTATACAGTTATATTAAATAAAATACTTTTTGTTTAATTGCCTTATAAAATTTTGCTATTTATTTATATATACTCGACCTTTTTTGCTTTTCTGTTTTATTAAACTGTATTAAGCTATATATATGTATAAATTATACTTCATCGTTCCTAATTGTTTCTTACCAAAATAATTTTCGTCAACGTAAGGATATTCTGTATTCAATACAATACAATGATACCCCCCTTTGGAGCATTTTAGTTTACAGCAATTATAGATTTCATAATTCCATTCTGTACGCCCTAATCCGCAATCATAGTATTTGCCTGACTATTTGTCAGCGTTGGCCATCGTTAGCCGACGCTGGCCTCCACTCGCATCCGCTGGAAAGGCGCCACATCCGACAGCGGAGTACATAATTTAAATGGCAACTTTAAAATGTTTACCGAACGCTTCATCGTGGTTGTAACGAGAATTTACGGGCCAGCAGCTAACCAAACACACTCCTACACCCACCGCAGACCCTCTCCCACACGGACGCGGACACACAGACATCCTGCAGTGTCTGTTTGTTTCTATTTGCGCTTAACCCGCGAGGGGCGAGCGCTGAAAAGCAGGCACCTTTTTTCTTCTCGGATCCACAGGCGCGAAAAGATATGCGACGAGGGGACGGGGTGGTGGGACCGAAGCAAGTTCACCATTCGACACTCTGTCAGTCGGATAGACAGACTTTTGTGCTCATTACTGTGGCAAATTTTTTGTTCGCCTTCCCGCTGGATTTTAATTAAAATTAATTACATTAAGTGCAACCGGCAAACAACAAACATCAGCGTAGGAATCCGCAATCGCCGTCCGAGAAACTGAAAAATAAAATCATCCCTATATAAAGACCAAGAATTGCAAAGAATGAACTCGCTAGATGCAGGCTTTAAAGTGCTTTAATCGGCTTCCCTCAATAATGGGGAACAGTAAAAAGATTTGATACCCCTTTGCGGGTATTACAGCTTGAAGTCATCCTATACATTACTATAAGAATTTATTATATTTTTACTGTTTAATATGTTGATATATTAGATATAATATAAATTTATAGCATTAAGTATTCATGTATCGATTTACGTGTCAAATGGTTAGTGGAGCTAAGCCCGGTTTTTTCATTTTTTTTTAACTGGTGCGGATAATGAAAGAATGAATAAACCTTATGTTTGCTTTCATATATTAAATTTACGTTATTTTTATAACTTAAACTTTAAATTTTTCTTGGGTACCAAGTATTTCTTAGTCGAGCACCCTTGACTCTTGCTTTTCTTATTTGTTTTTTCAATTTTTTGGCATTCATACGTTGGGTCAAATGGTAATTTTTTCACACAGCATTCTCCACTCTGATGTTTATATTACAGCAGACGGAATTATTTTGGTTGCTAAATGGTTTGTTTTTTATGAAGCCTGGAATTGAACTTCCACACAGTGTAAATAGTGCATTTGGGATCGGATTTTGTAAATAATTTAAGATTTATCTTATTACTTTACAGATAAGAGTATTCCATATCTAACATAAATAGTTTAATGTAAATAGAGAGTAAAATAACTATGGTAACATCTAATGCACATTGAATTCCCTAACAAATATAAAAAGTTTTCAAGCAAACTTCAGCTGACTACGAAATCTAAAATACAACAAATTGCTGGAGTGCTTACCGAACTCTCCCCTCGGCTGATGACTTTTAAGCAACATCATAAAGTACAACAATTGACAACATTTTTATTATTTCGTCTGCGTCAGTTTTCATTTTTTGGGAAATATTTTTCTGAGCAATTAAATGTTGCCACTTGGCAGCAAAAGTTTAGCGTAGAAAAGTTTCGCAGCTGAAAGTTATAGCGTAAAAACTCTTCAACCAGAAGGGCAAAAGTAAAAGCAAAATCAAAGCCAACTTCCCTGGGCAGGGGCGGATCCGAAAGCACAAATAAATGACAATAAAAATAAGCCATAGGGAAACATTTGGTAATACCAGCGAAGAAAATCATAAATAAAACGCATGTAATCCTCGATTGAGTGCTTAACTTGATGCTCTGGCGGGCGAGGGGTCCGGAACAGGGCTGGAGGGAGGGAGTGGGAGTTGCGGGTGCGCGATAAGGGCGAAAGGCAAGTATTTACATTTGTGGCTGATGCGGTGGCCGCATTGAAAAGTCATCAATCATCCGGGCTCGCTCAGCCAGCGGAGCAAAAAATTTGTCAGTTTAGCAAAAATTCAGTGCTGGCTTGATATTGATCCGACTGGCTGAGGTACATCCACACAGTTAACGCTCCCAAGCACCCAATTTGCAGGGAACTTTAAGAGCCTTTAAGTTTGCGGCCCTTAAAAAGTGCGCCAGGGAGGAAGGTGGCGGCAAGCCGTGCAACAAAACATCTGAAACCGGCAAATGAAT